CAAACTGTCCTCATTGGCTGACTTAGCTGCCTATTCATTGGCTGACCTTGTTACCATGCTCTATTCCAGTTCATGAATATATTCTGACAATAGGAATGTTTTATGAGTCGACAACAAGTTTAAGGAATTTTGGTTGGTTTGCAGGCAGCCATATAAAATTTAGAAGGGATTTGCTGTTTTTGTCCATCTAGCTGAGTTTTTCCCAAGGACCTGGGATAGCCAGGTGTTTAATATGAAAGGTTATTGTTGCAGGATGTAAGCTGTTCCAAGTAAAGCTGCTTTTTTGCAAATTACTGTTGTTACGTGGGACAAATGCAGGAGTAAAATAGTTCTTATAAGTGTGATGGGAGTGATTTCTGCTCACAACCCCTTCCTCCTGAAATATCCATTTTGACAGCAAGATAGATAAGTATTGATTTTTCCTGAAATTAAGAACGCTGATGCTCCGTTAACATACGTGGCATACGATGCTTTGCAGTTTATGCAACTTCCCAAAAGAGTTTCTTGCAGCCAGATTTAAAAAAAAAAAAAACATTTTATTTTAGGTGGCATTTTCAGCCAGCCGTTCCTTGAATGGGTTTTCTTAAAAGTACAGGCAGTCTTCGAATTGAGCTCAAAGTTTCTGTTGCCAACATTGGTTAAGTGAGTTTTGCCCCATTTTACGACCTTTCTTGTCGCGGTTGTTAAGTGAATCCTTGCAGTTGATAAGTTAGTAACCTGATTGTTAATTGAATCTGGCTTCCCCTTTGATTTTGATTGTAAGAAGGTGGCAAAAGGATTTTACATGACCTTGGGACACTACCACTGTCATAAATATGGTCACTAAATGAACTGTTGGAAGTTGAGGGCCACCTGTAGCTTCCAGAGGCTCCTAAATTTAAGCTGCAAATGACACTTTTCAGAGAATTCTAGATTTGGATGGGACCATGGAGCTCATCTCTCTCTGCCTCTCTTTCTCTGTCTCTGTCTGTTTTGTCTCTCTCTCTCTCTCTCTGTCTCTCTCTGTCATGTCTGATTCTCTCTGTCTGTCTGTCTGTTTCTCCCTCTCTGTCTCCCCTATATCTTTCTCTTTCTCTTTTTTTTCTTTCTTTCTTTCTTTCTTTCTTTCTTTCTTTCTTTCTTTCTTTCTTTCTTTCTTTCTTTCTTTCTTTCTTTCTTTCTTTCTTTCTTTCTTTCTCTTTCTTTCTTTCTTTCTTTCTCTCTCTCTCTCTCTCTCTCTCTCCCCCTCCCACTCCTTCCTCCCCTTCTCTCTCTCTCTGTTTCTCTTTCTTTCTCTCTCTCTCTCTCTGTCTCTCCCTCTGTCTCTCTCTGTCTCCCCTATCTCTTTCTTTCTTTCTCTCTCTCCCTCCCTCCCTTCTCTCTCTGTCTCTCTCTCTCTCTCTCACACACACACACACACACCATTGCACGAGTCCTGATTGCAGCATCTGTGAGAGACATTTGTCCAGATTCTTCTTGGACATATAACCAATGAAGTTCACCAATTTCTGGGTTATTGCTGCATCGTCCAACTGATCTTATCCTTCAGAAAAATCAGAAGCATTTAGGCACCCTTTTCCTGATTTAATGAATCTTGCCAAAAAGTAGGGCCAGCTGGGGGATTCTGGGAGTTGAAGTCCGCACAGCTTCAGGTTGCCAAGGTTGAGAAACACTGCTATCGAGCAATAGCTCTTCTGCGGTATTTATGAAGAAGTTTCCCCGCTCCCATTCAAACTGAACATAAGATTCCTTATAAAGTGAAATCATTCTTCCATGTCCTACATTGTCCGTGATAGAGAACAGGTCTTGGCCTTCTTGTGTATGACGTTCTTTTTAACACCTTTGAAAAATTTGTCAGTAGAACCAATTACTAAAGGAAGATACATCCAAGCTGAAGTTGGACAACCCCATCTGTCAGGATGCTTTAAATTGGCCTTCTTTATTGAACAGGAGGATTGGAGGTGAGATCTAACTTGGCCCTTTCAATGTTGAGTCTGCGATGCTAATATTCAAGGCTCTGTTGGGCAGCTGTCAAGTTCTGAAGGGTGGTTGCAATCAGTGTAATGCCTCGGGCTGTGGAAAGGGAATTTCACGAAGGCAGTAGTGTCACAAAAAAAAAAAACAGGAAACGCCCAAGGGGAACATCAGGTCAGCCAGAAAACAAACTTCCATAGGAAAAGGAATCAAATAAAAAAGGTGTTAAAGAATCCCTATAGACAAAAGCCTAAGTAATTAAGAAAACTAGACAGATAGGAAAAGGAAACAAAAGATAATTTAGAAAACCCTTACAAACACAGGACATACCAAATAAGCAAAACAAACAGACAAAAGACACAAAATATAAATTACAAAAGGGACAGACAGGAGATTGCCACAGAACAAATATGAAAAACTATCTTAAAGCTAAAAGAGATTACAGAAAACCAATAATACAATCTGGCCACCCCGCGGAGTTTGCCCTCCGGCGGAAATAAAGACAAACTCAAACAGGATTTGAAACATTAGGCACAAATACAAACACTCACACAAAATCGGCTTCCAAAGAGAGAAAGGGGTATAAAAAACCAGGGACTTACCATAAGAAGCTAGCTAGCCCAGGAACGCAGACTTCTCGCTGTTCTCCGCCTTCCTGAAAAATAAAAAGATCCAGCTTTCAAGCAGTTGTCCGTATCCTTGCGCCGGAGCTCTCCCAGCGGGAAAATCGAATCCTCGAAAGAAAGGCATTTTGACACCTTTCAACAGGGCAAAGGGAAAATTTTGCTATCACTCTCTCGGTGAACTATTTCCTATGCTTGTTAGAGAAGGAAGCAGGGAAGGATTTGATCTACTGAAGCACAGCCAGGATGTGGGAGATAAAAGAATTTCATTCAACAATGGAATGGAATGGAAATTAGAGTAGAATATAGAATAGAATAGAACAGACCCGTGATGGCGAACCTACAGCACGTGTGCCACAGGTGGCACGCAGAGCCATTTGTGTGGGCATGCGAGCTCCAGCCAAATTTACCTCCCTGCGCATGTGTGTGCCTCCCAGGTGATTTTCGGCCCGTTTTCGGCCTTTTTTGGCCTTCCAGAGGCTCGAGGGAAGCCTCTGCAGCCTTTGTAGGCCGAAAAACAGGCCCGTTTCATCACTTCCTGTATTTCCGGAAATGCCGGCAGTGATGAAACGGGCCCATTTTTCGGCCTGCAAAGGTTGCAGAGGCTTCCCTTGAGCCTCTGTAGGCCGAAAATCAGCTGGGAGGCACTCGCATGCCCAGTGCAGGTAAGGGGGGGAATCGCATGCGCAGGGGGCATTGGGGGGCATGCAGTTTTGGGCACAGTACCCCAAAAAGGTTAGCCACCACTGGAATAGACTATAATAGAAAATTAGAATGGAATGGAATGGAATGGAATAGAATATAGCATAGCATAGCATAGCATAGCATAGCATAGCATAGCATAGAATAGAATAGCATAGAATAGCATAGAATAGCATAGAATAGCATAGAATAGCATAGAATAGAATTCTTTATTGGCCAAATGTGATTGGACACACAAGGAATTTGTCTCCATTGCATAAGTTTTCAGTGTGCATACAGGCAACAAGTGATAAATCCTGATCAGAATGATAAAATACAATCATCACAAATCATAAGATACAACACTCAATGATAGTCCTAGGATACTAAGTAAGCAATCAACATAAATCATAATAGGATACTAAATAAAAGCCATCAACATAGTTCATAAAATATACAAACAACAAAGTTACAATCATAGAGGTTATAGTCATTCATTACCTTAGCATTGATGATGTTACCTAGTTTGGATAATGAAACGTCTGCAAGAAAACAAGCAGGCTCAGAGAGCACCAAGGACGCCTGAGCCAAATATTCTCCTTTCTTAGTATAGTCATAAGAAACTAAGGAACTAGGCAATAGGAAAGATGAGAAGGGGTAATACAGCCTTACTAGGTGGTTTGTCATCCCAGGGCGTAAGACAGTGTTGTGGGAATTAGTTGTTTAGCAGAGTGATGGCATGGGGAGAAAAACTGTCCTTGTGGCTAATTGTTTTGGCGTGCAATGCGTCATCTTGAGAGAAGAAACAGTTTATCTCCAGGATGTGCTGGGACTGTAGATATTTTCGCAGCCCACTTTCCAAGGGTGGGATTCAACTGGTGTTACTACCGGTTCGGTACTTACGTCCTGCTGATTGGCACAAAGTCACCCAGCTGGCTTTCCTGCCTAAGGTGGGACTAGAACTCACTGTCTCCTGGTTCACTAGGCCATAATTGCTCTCATTGATTCAGTGGCCTCTTCCAATTATTATTTTATTTATGAGTAGATCCCCGTCTCCTTTAGAATGCAAATAAATAACTGCAGCTCCCCCCAAAATCCATGTGGACCCAACCTTGCTGTCATATAGGAAAATCTTCAACAACTGGTTATTGCAGCAGGCTCTGGGCCATGACAATTTGTGAACATGCCTCTGAGATGTAAATATTTTAATTCCTTTTGTAGTTCTCTGATGTGGTATCTCGGGCTTTCGTTTTCATTAATGTTTTATTATTAAAGATTAATATTTTATTCATTTTTCTTGTTGGTTGTTTTTTTCCCTTTCAGTTTTAGGATGCGTTTTTGCATTTGTAGATGCTGCTTTAACTTGCTTT